GGACAGTGAGGGGGCATGGGGGACATTGGGGACATCGGGGACACCAGGGGGTCAGGGGGTCACCGGGGACATGGGGACAGCAGGGACAGCAGGGACATGGGGACAGCGTGGTCAGGGACATGGGGACAGGGACAAGGGGACATGGGGACAGCGGGGACATGGGGACAGGGACATGGGGACAGTGGGGTCAGGGACACGGGGACATGGGGACAGCAGGGACATGGGGATATGGAGACAGCGCGGTCAGGGACATGGGGACACGGACACGGGGACAGTGGGGTCAGGGACACAGGGACAGGGACATGGGGACAGTGGGGATACAGTGACACGGGGACAGTGGGGTCAGGGACACAGGGACAGGGACATGGGGACAGTGGGGATACAGTGACACGGGGACAGTGGGGTCAGGGACACGGGGACAGCAGGGACATGGGAACAGCAGGGACAGGGACACGGGGACACCGGCACAGCAGGGTCAGGGACATGGGGACAGCAGGGACAGGAGGGACACAGGGACATGAGGGACACAGGGACATGGGGACGGGGACATGGGGACAGCAGGGACATGGGGACAGCAGGGACAGGAGGGACACAGGGACAGGAGGGTCAGGGACACGGGGACAGCAGGGACACAGGGACATGGGGACAGAGACATAGGGACACAGGGACAGCGGGGTCAGGAACAGCAGGACACGGGGACTTTGGGACACAAGGGGACATGGGGACAGCAGGGACATGGGGACACAGGGACAGGAGGGTCAGGGACACGGGGACAGCAGGGACAGCAGGGACATGGGGACAGAGACATAGGGACACAGGGACAGCGGGGTCAGGGACAGCAGGACACGGGGACTTTGGGACACAAGGGACATCGGGGCGAGGCACAGGAGGGTCAGGGATGTTGGGAGACAGGGACAGAGACCCAGGGATGGGGACAGGGACATGGGGACAGGACAGGGACATGGGGACAGGGTCAGGACAGGGAAAGGACAGGGACACGGGGATGGGGACAGGGGCAAGGGATGGGGACAGGGACACAGGGACAGGACAGGGACACAGGGATGGGACAAAGGACATGGGGTCACAGGGGGTCAGGGATGGGGACAGGAACTGGGGCATGGGGACAGGAGCAGGATGGGACACCAGGATGGGACACGGATGTGACACTGGGATGGGACAGTGGCCATCCTGACCAGACACTGGCCACCACCATGGGACAGTGGTGACCACCATGGGACACTGGTGACCACCATGGGACAGTGGCCACTGTGACCAGCCACCAGTGAGGGCCACCACAGCTGACCAGAGGCCACCCCCTGTGGCCACAGCCACACGGCCAGGTGTCCCCTTGCTGCCCCCTTCCCCCCCAGAGTGTCCCCAGAGCCACCAGCCCCCCCGGGGTGGCACTGTGGGGTCACCAAGGCGGCCACAACGCCCCCCTCAGTGTCCCCAGTGTCCCCCCGAGCGGTGGCAGTGCCCCCTCCATGTCACCCCGGGGGAGGGGCGCTGTCCCTTGTCACCTCCCCCGGGACGGGGAAATGGGGGGGACAGCGGGAGGTGACAAGCGGGGGGTCACGGATGAGGGGGTGACAGTGACAGTGACACCCCGGGAGGGACTAGAACTCCTGACCAGACACTGGCCACCACCATGGGACAGTGGTGACCACCATGGGACACTGGTGACCACCATGGGACAGTGGCCACTGTGACCAGCCACCAGTGAGGGCCACCACAGCTGACCAGAGGCCACCCCCTGTGGCCACAGCCACACGGCCAGGTGTCCCCTTGCTGCCCCCTTCCCCCCCAGAGTGTCCCCAGAGCCACCAGCCCCCCCGGGGTGGCACTGTGGGGTCACCGAGGCGGCTACAGCGTCCCCCGTGTCACCCCGAGCGGTGGCAGTGCCCCCTCCGTGTCACCCCGGGGGAGGGGCGCTGTCCCCTGTCACCTCCCCCGGGACGGGGAAATGGGGGGGACAGCGGGAGGTGACAAGCGGGGGGTCACGGATGAGGGGGTGACAGTGACAATGACACCCCGGGAGGGACAAGAACCAGGGGGGGGGGGTGACAGTGACAGGGAGGGAGCCGCGCCGCCATCTTGGCGCCGGGCAGGGCGGCCCTCACGGCCCGGCGCCATCTTAGCGCGCGGCGCGGCGCGCGGCGCCATCTTAGACGGCGAGGGCGCGCGGCGCTTCCGCCGCCCCGCCGCCATCTTGGGTGAGGGCGGCGCCATGTTGGAAGAGGGCGGCGCTCGGTGAGGGCCGCGATGAGAGCGTGAGGACACGGCCCGGCGCTGCCCAGGGTGAGAGACCCCCGCCCAGCTCATCGGTACCGGAGGGGTTTGGGGGATGCGGCCGGAAAGCCCGGGCTGCCCCCGTGGTGAGGCCGCTGTGGGCGCCGCCATGTTGAGGCAAAGATGGCGGCGGTGTAAACAAAGGCCGGGGGTTGGGGGCGGCCTTGTGTCGCCTCAGCGTCCCCTCGGTGTCCCCCTGTCCCCGTGGGGCTGTGTCCTCCTGTTCCTGTGTGTCTGTGTGCCCAGGTGCCCCCGCCGCGTGCTCTCCTGTCCCCGTGTCCCCAAATGACCCCATGTCCCCGTATCCCACTGTCCCCAAATGTCCCCAAATGACCCCATGTCCCCGTATCCCACTGTCCCCAAATGTCCCCAAATGACCTCGTGTCCCAATGTCCTCATTTCTCCCTGTCCCAGTGTCCCCAAATGTCCCTGTCCCCATATCCCACTGTCCCAATATCTCCCCGTGCCAATGTTTCAGTGTCCCCATGCCCTCATTTCTCTGTCCCCTGCCCCAAAGTTTCTAAATTTAAAAATAAATTTTATTTTAAATTTTTAAAATAATAAGAATAGTCGTAATAATAATAATAATAATAATAATAATAATAATAATAATAATAATAATAATAATAATAATATAAAAATAAATAAAATAAAATAAAAATAATAAAATAAAATAAAATAATAAAAATAATTTAGAATAAATTTAAAAACTAAAAAATTAAAAATTAAAATAAAGTAGAAAACTATTAAATTAACTTTTAAAACATAAAATTAAATAAATAAATAAAATAATAATAAATAATAAAATAAATTAATAAAATTAAATTTAAACTATAAAATCAAATCAAATTAAATCAAATCAAATCTATAAATAAACACCAACAACCCACCAGCATCTCTGACACAGGAATTCTCACCTTGGTATATTTATTATCATTTAATTTTTATTTTATCATTATTTATTTGCACTCTGCTCTGGGGGGGCCCTGCCCGCGCTCAGCGCTCGCCCCCCCCAGGGCTGCCAGGGGGTCCCGGGGGGGGTCCCGGGGGGATTTGGGGGAGTCCAAAGGGGATTTGGGGGGGTCCCGGCTGGATTTGGGGGGGTCCCGGGGGTCCCGGGAGGGCGCGGGCGAAGTGGGGTTTGGGGGGCACCACGGGCACGGCCCGGGCCAGCAGCACCCGCGCCCCCAAAACGGGGAGGGGGCGGCGGGAGCTGCTCAAGGGGGCCGGGAGCGGCCCCAGGGATTTGGGGCGCCCGTCCCGGATGGGATTTGGGGGTCCCGGGGGGTCCTGGGATTCGGGGGGCTCAGCCAGCAGCGGCCCCAGGGATTTGGGGCGCCCGTCCCGGATGGGATTTGGGGGTCCCGGGGGGTCCTGGGATTCGGGGGGCTCAGCCAGCGGGGGGCTCCCGGGGGGGCTCTGCCACGGGCGGGGCTGGAGGAGACCCCACTAAATCCGGGGGATCCCCCTCCCCCGGGGTGAGGGGCAGGGACCCAGCTCCGTTCCCAGCGGGACCCCCGAGCCCTCCCCCCTCACCCCACACCCCCGGCCTGGGGCTGGGGGCTCCCTCTGCAGCCCCCTCCCCTCCGCCCCCTTCCCCAGGGGGGTCCCGGGGGGCGTCCCCCACTCCTGGACCGTGCTTTTCCAGGGGTGTTTGGGCCAGAATCTCGGGGATTTCTGGGGTCTCCGGGACTTTTGGGGTCTCCGGGATCTCCAGGACTTTTGGGGTCTCTGGGACCTCTGGGATTTCCAGGGCTTTTGGGATTTCTGGGGTCTCTGGGATCTCCAGGGCATTTGGGATTTCTGGGATCCCTTGGGTGTCTGGGATCTCTGGGATCTCCAGGACTTTTGGGATTTTTGGGATCTCTGGGATCTCCAGGATCTCTGGGATCTCCAGGACTTTGGGGGTCTCTGGGACCTCTGGGATTTCCAGGGCTTTTGGGATTTTTGGGACCTCTGGGATCTCCAGGACTTTTGGGATTTTTGGTATCTCTGGGATCTCCAGGATCTCTGGGATCTCCAAGACTTTGGGGGTCTCTAGGTTCCCTGGGGTCTCTGGGATTCCTGGGATCTCCAGGGCTTTTGGGATGTCTGTGGTCTCCGGGATCTCCGGGATCTCTGGGATCTCCAGGACTTTTGGGATCCCTGGGATCTCCAGGACTTTTGGGATGTCTGTGGTCTCCGGGATCTCCGGGATCTCTGGGATCTCCAGGGCTGTCCCCGGGGGTCCCTCGGGGGTCCCCAGGGGGCTGAGCTCGTCGTGGGCGCTCAGGAAGATTTCCTCGGGGTCGGAGTCGGGGTCGGAGGCGCCGGGGGCCAGGAAGAACATGTCCTGCTCCGTGCACTCCTCGATGGACAGGTAACTGTCCGGCTGCTCCGCCCAGCGCTCACCCGGCTGGGGGGACACGGGTGGGACCCCCGGCACGGCCGGGAGACGCGGGTGGGTGTCACTGTGTCCCCCTGCCCATCCCATCCCATTGATTTCATTGATCCCAATGATCCCATTGATCCGATCCCATTGATCCCACTGATCCCATGCCACTGATCCCACTGATCCCACTGATCCCATTGATCCCATGCCACTGATCCCATTGGTCCCAATGATCCCATCCCATCCAATCGATCCCATTGATCCCATCCATCCCACTGATCCCATCCCATTTATCCCAATGATCCCATTGATCCGAATGATCCCACTGATCCCATTGATACCATTGATCCCACTGATCCCATTGATCCCACGCCACTGATCCCATTGATCCCACCCCATCCCACTGATCCCACTGATCCCACTGATCCCATTGATCCCATGCCACTGATCCCATTGGTCCCAATGATCCCATCCCATCCAATCGATCCCATTGATCCCATCCATCCCATTAATCCCATTGATCCCAATGATCCCAATGATCCCATTGGTCCCGTCACATCGATCCCATCCCAAACATCCCATTGATACCATTGACGCCATTGATCCTATTGATCCCATCACATTGATCCCATCCCACTGATCCCATTGACCCCAATGATCCCACTGATCCCATCAATCCCATCAATCCCATTGATCCAATTGATCCCAATGATCCTATTAATCCCATCCCATTAATCCCATTGATCCCATCGATCCCATTGATCCCATCCCACCCCACCCGGTGCTGTCCATCCCATCCTGTCCCACCCCACTGATCCCTCCCCATTGATCCCATCCCAATGCCATTGATCCCACCCCCTCCTCCCTCCACCGGTCCCACCCACCCCGAATCCCGGGAATGCCGCCGGGTGCTCACGTTCATGAACCCGCTCTCCATCGCCTCCTCCACGGCCGGGAACCCGTCCCCGATCCCGGGGGTCCCATCCTCGATCCCGGGGGTTCCATCCTCGATCCCGGGGGTCCCATCCTCCATCTCGGGGGTCCATTCCTCCATCCCGGGGGTCTCATCCCCGGTCCCGGGGCTCCGCGCCGCCGCCTCCGCGTCGCCGCCGCCCTCCAGCCACGTCTCGGGGCCGTCCAGGAAGGCGAAGGAGTCGCGGAGCTCCAGGGAGAGCCGGGTCTGCTCCGCATCCTCTGCGGGGAGAGCGGGGGGCGCTCGGGACCGGCCCCACTCGATCCCGGTATTCCCCCGATCCCGGTGTCCCCCCGATCCCGATATTCCCACGAACCTGGTGTTTCCCCGATCCCAGTATTTCCCCCATCCTGGTGTCCCCCTAATCCCGGTGCGGAGCTCCAGGGAGAGCCGGGTCTGCTCCGCATCCTCTGCGGGGAGAGCGGGGGGCGCTCGGGACCGGCCCCACTCGATCCCGGTGTCCCTCTGATCCCAGCGTCCCTCTAATCCCGGTGTCCCCCCGATCCCGGTGTCTGTTTCCCCGATCCCAGTATTTCCCCCATCCTGGTGTCCCCCTAATCCCGGTGTTCCCCCGATCCCGGTGTCCCCCCGATCCCGATATTCCCCCGATCCCTGTGTTCCCCCGATCCCAGCGTCCCTCTAACCCCGGTGTCCCCCTGATCGCGGGTGTCCCCCCAATCCCGGTGTCCCTCCGATCCCAATGTCCCCTCTGTCCCGGTGTCCTCCTTATCCCGGTGCCCCTCAATCCCGTTGTCCCCCCGGTCCCGTTGTCCCCCCGATCCCGGTGTCCCCTTATCCCGGTGTCCCCCCGGTCCCGTTGTCCCCCCGGTCCCGGTGTCCCCTCGATCCCGGTGTCCCCCCGGTCCCGTTGTCCCCCCGGTCCCGGTGTCCCCTCGATCCCGGTGTCCCCCCGGTCCCGGTGTCCCCCCGGTCCCGGTGTCCCCGTGATCCCGGTGTCCCCCCGATACCGATGTCCCCACGACCCCGGTATCCCCGTGATCCCGGTGTCCCCCCGGTCCCGGTGTTCCCCCGGGTGTCCCACCGCGCGGTCTCACCGGAGCGGGGCCGGGGGTCGCGGGCGGGCTCGGGGGCGCTGCCGGGGCTCTGCTCCCGTTCCAGCGCGGGGCACGGCAGCCCCCGGGTGAGGCGGGACAGGTTGGAGGTGATGTGGAAGGGGACGGTGACCGAGAAGGGGCCCGAGATGTGGAGCCCCGCGCATTTCTCGGCGCGGGAGCGGCCGCAGACCCCCGGCCCGGCCCGGGGGGCTTTGGGGGTGGTGGGCTCCGACTGGGTGCTGCTCTCGGCCGCCGCCTCCAGCGGCTCCTCCAGGCTCTCGTCCAGCTCCGGGGGCGGCTCCGGGGCCGCGGGGGCCGCGTCCGAGCTGTGCTGCCGCTGCGGCCGCCGCTTCACCGACAGCTTCGGCAGCAGCCGCGCCGCGTCCGGGGCTGCGGGGGAACAGTCCGGAGCGGGCCGGGGCCGGGCGGTCCCGGGGGTCCCGGGGGCCACGGGGAGCGGGGGGATACCGGGGTGTGGGGGGGTCCCGGGGGTCCCGGGGAGCAAGGCGTTGGAGGGACACTCCCAGGGGACAGAGGGACAATCCCAAGGGACAAAGGGACACTCCCAGGGGACAGAGGGACAATCCCAGGGGACAGAGGGACACTCCCAGGGGACAGAGGGACAATCCCAGGGGACAGAGGGACAATCCCAGGGGACAGAGGGACACTCCCAGGGGACAGAGGGACAACCCCAGAGGACAGAGGGACAATCCCCGGGGACAGAGGGTCCCGCTCACCGGCCGGTCCGGAGGGGCCGGAGCTGAGCGAGTCCATGCTCTTGGCCGGCCGCAGAGTGACCTTCCCACACTTCTCTGGGGATGGGGCGGGAGAAGAGGATTGGGGGACTTGGGGACATTTGGGGACACAGCCCCCCGGTCCATGGGATCCCCCCCATTCCCACCTTTCTCCTCCGCCTTCCCCGGTTTCCGCTTGGCCTCGTGCCCGGAGCGGCCCAGGTTGAAGATGGATCTCCACTTCTTGGCCTTGAGGGAGCCCTTGCTCCTGTGGGGACACCTGGGCTACACCTGGGCACACCTGGGGACACCTGGGCACACCTGGGGACACCTGGGAGACAACTGGGCACACCTGGGATATACCTGGACACACCTGGATACACCTGGGGACACCTGGGATACAGCTGGGGACACCTGGGGACAGCTGGATACACCTGGGATACACCTGGGCACACCTGGGAGACACCTGGGATACATCTGGATACACCTGGGACACCTGGATACACCTGGGATACAGCTGGATACACCTGGGATCGTCCCCAAAGAGCTGCTCCACGTGGGTGAGGATGAACTCCACCACGATGGACTGCACGCGCACCTCCATGAACGCCGCCGTGCCGTTGAAGCCCGAGGCCTCGATGTCCCTCGAGCTGGGGACAGCGGGGACAGCGAGGTCACCGTGGGGTGAGGGGACAGTGGGGACAGCGGGGTCACCGCAGGGTGATAGGGATGAGGGAATGGGGACAGCGATGGTGAAACGGGAATGGGGTCAAGGACGGGGACAGGGCGATGGTAGGGACAGAGGGGACGGTGGGGACATTTGGGTGGCGGTGACAAGTTTGGCAGGGACAGGGGAATGGGATCACGGGGACAGCAGGGCCAGGGCTGAGGGTGACAGGGCTGAGGGTGACAGGAGTGAGGGTGACGGGAGTGAAGGGTGACAGGGCTGGCTGTGACAGAGTTGGGTGTGACAGAGCTGAGGGTGACAGGGCTGGGAGTGACAGGGATGAGGGTGACAGGGGTGGCAGTGATGGGACTGATGGTGACAGCACTGACGGTGACAGGGCTGACGGTGACAATGACAGGTGACAGCAACAGGTGACAGTGACAGCGACAGGTGACAGTGACGGTGACAGGTGACAGCAACAGGTGACAGTGATGGGTGACAGTGACGGTGACAGGTGACAGTGACAGGTGACAGCAACAGGTGACGGTGATGGGTGATGGTGACAGTGACAGGTGACAGTGACAGGTGACAGTGACAGCGACAGGTGATGGTGACAGCGACAGGTGACAGCGACAGGTGACAGGTGACAGTGACAGGTGACGGTGACAGCGACAGGTGACAGCGACAGGTGACAGCGACAGCGGCACCCACCGCAGCAGGTTGGGCGCCCAGACGATGGCCAGGTTCCGCGCGTGCATGTTGGTGCGCCCGCTGTGCGCGGCCATGCGCAGCAGGTGCCGCATCAGGAACTCCAGCGTCCTGCCACAGCGGTGACACCTCAGCCCCGCCACCCGCGCCGGGGACACCGCGGGGGCCGCGGGGACGTCCCCACCCCCTCCACCTGTAGTGAGGCGCCGGCAGCTCCTTGAGCACCTCCTTGATCTTCACCAGCCGCGCCTCCTCCATCTGGATGGCCACGGCGTCCTGCGGGGACAGCGCGGGGACGGCGCGGCAGGTGACAGCAACAGGTGACAGTGATGGGTGACAGTGACGGTGACAGGTGACAGTGACAGGTGACAGCAACAGGTGATGGTGACAGGTGATGGTGATGGTGACAGGTCGGTTTGGGGTTTGGGGTTTGGGGTTTGGGGTTTGGGGTTTGGGGTTTGGGATTTGGGATTTGGGATTGGGGTCCGGGCTGCGCTGCGCCTCGAACTCCTGCCTGGGGTTTGGGATTGGGCTTTGGGGTTTGGGATTGGGGTTTGGGATTTGGGAATGGGGTTTGGGCTGCGCTGCGCCTCAAACTCCTGCCTGGGGTTTGGGATTGGGGTTTGGGGTTTGGGGTTTGGGAATGGAGATATGGGATTGGGAATTGAGACTGGGGTCCAGGCTGCGCTGAGCCTCAAACTCCTGCCTGGGAGGGGATTTGGGGTTTGGGGTTTGGGATTGGGGTCCGGGCTGTGCTGCGCCTCGAACTCCTGCCTGGGGTTTAGGATTGGGCTTTGGGGTTTGGGGTTTGGGGTCTGGCCACGGCGTCCTGCGGGGACAGCGCGGGGACGGCGCGGTGACGGGGCCACCCGCCGCGCTGGGGACATCTGGGGACATCTGGGGACACTCTGGGGACAGGGACTCACGGCGAACTTGTCGTAGAGCTGGTAGGTGAGCAGGGGGTTGGGCAGCTCGCGGCAGTAGGCCTTGCACAGGGAGCTGACGCAGTGAACGTCCTGCAGGTAAACGTCCCGCGACAGGTCCGGGCTGCGCTGCGCCTCGAACTCCTGCCTGGGGTTTGGGATTTGGGATTTGGGGTTTGGGATTGGGGTTTGGGATTTGGGGTTTGGGATTGGGGTCCGGGCTGCGCTGTGCCTCGAACTCCTGCCTGGGGTTTGGGATTGGGGTTTGGGGTTTGGGGTTTGGGATTTGGGATTAGGAATATGGGATTTGAGATTGGGATTGGGGTCCGGGCTGTGCTGCGCCTCAAACTCCTGATTTGGATTTGGGTTTGGGATTGGGAATATGGGATTTGGGTCTGGGCAATTCTGGGTTCCCCCAGGAACAGGGGAGAAAAACACTCAGGGAAAGAAGCAAAGGAAGTGCAAACTGCCCCAAAACTGGGAAAGTGAAAGAGAACGGGCAGGGAAAACCCCAAAAGCAACAAAGAGGGAAAAAGGGAAGGAAAGGAGCAGGGGAAGAGGGGCCGGAGCGGGATGGGGGAAGGGAAGGGGCCAGGGGGAGGGGAGATGGGCCCACGCCCCCCGTCCCTGTCACCCCGAGTCCGGTCCCATCCCTGCTTCCACCTTTTCTCATCCCACTCCTGTCCCTCCCTCCCTCTCAGTCCCGGCGTCCTCCAGTCTCCACCCCCCTCCCATCCCATCCCATCCCATCCCATCCCATCCCATCCCATCCCATCCCATCCCATCCCAATCCCAATCCCAGTCCCGACCTCCTCCCCATCCCATCCCGCCCTGCTCCCCACTCCGTCCTCATCCTGATCCCAATTCTCAGCTCCATTCCCATCCCAATCCTCATTCCCCCATCCGCCTCTGTCCCGATCCCGCCCCGTTCCCAATCCCGATCCCATCCCACTCCCAATCCCATTCCCAACCCGATCCCTGCCCCATCCTCATTCTCGCCTCAATCCCTGCCCCATGCCCATCTCCTCATTCCCCCATCCGCCTCTGTCCCGATCCCGCCCCGTTCCCAATCCCGATCCCATCCCACTCCCAATCCCATCCCCAACCCGATCCCGCCCCGTTCCCAATCCAGATCCCTGTTCCATCCTCATTCTCGCCTCAATCCCTGCCCCATCCCCATCTCCATCCCATCCCAATCCCATCCCATGGATCCCATCCCATGGATCCCATCCCATCGATCCCCTCCCACTGATCCTACTCCATCAATCCCATCCCATCCCATGGATCCCATCCCACCGATCCCATCCCACTGATCCCATCCCACTGATCCCACTCCATCAATCTCATCCCATCCCATGCCATCCCAATCCCATTCCACCAATCCCATCCCATGGATCCCATCCCATGGATCCCATCCCATCCCCCTGATCCCATCCCATGGCTCCCATCCCATGGCTCCCATCCCGCCCCCCTGACCCCGTCCCCGCCGCGCTGACCGCAGCCGCTGGGTGTTGGAGGACACCCCGGACAGGCGGTAGATGCCATCGACCACCCCGTGCTGCTCCACGAACTCCGTGCAGCTCCGGAGCACCTGCGGCACTGCGGGGCACGGGCCGGCCCCGCGGGGTCCCGGTGAGCCCGATCCCGTGGGATCCCAGTGAGCCCAGATCCCATGGGATCCCACTGATCCCAAGTCCCACAGACTCCTGGTGAGCCTGATCCCACAGGATCCCACTGATCCCAGAGCACACGGGATCCCACCGAGCCCAGATCCCATGGGATCCCACTGAGCCTTGATCCTGTGGGATCCCAGTAATCCCTGATCCTGTGGGATCCCACTGAGCCCAGATCCCACAGAGCCCAACTGAGCTCGGATTCCAGAGCCCAACTGATCCTGGATCGAGCAAAGCCCAACTGAGCCCAGACCTGACAGAGTCTGATCCCGGATCCCATCCCATGGCTCCCATCCCGCCCCCCTGACCCCGTCCCCGCCGCGCTGACCGCAGCCGCTGGGTGTTGGAGGACACCCCGGACAGGCGGTAGATGCCATCGACCACCCCGTGCTGCTCCACGAACTCCGTGCAGCTCCGGAGCACCTGCGGCACTGCGGGGCACGGGCCGGCCCCGCGGGGTCCCGGTGAGCCCGATCCCGTGGGATCCCACTGAGCCCACAGGGTCCCGGTGAGACCGATCCCACGGGATCCCAGTGAGCCCTGATCCCACGGGATCCCACTGATCCCACAGGGTCCCGGTGAGACCGATCCCACGGGATCCCACCGAGCCCAGATCCCATGGGATCCCACTGAGCCTTGATCCTGTGGGATCCCAGTAATCCCTGATCCTGTGGGATCCCACTGAGCCCAGATCCCACAGAGCCCAACTGAGCTCGGATTCCAGAGCCCAACTGATCCTGGATCGAGCAAAGCCCAACTGAGCCCAGACCTGACAGAGTCTGATCCCGGATCCAAGAGCATCCAGCTGAGCCCAGACCTGACAGAGCCCAACTGATCCTGGATCCACCAGAGCCCAACTGATCCTGAACCTAACAGAGCCGAGCTGATCCTGGATCCATCAGAGCCCAACTGGTCCTGGATCCATCAGAACCCAACTGATCCTGAACCCAACAGAGCCGAGCTGATCCTGGATCCATCAGAACCCACTGCTCCTGGATCCATCAGTGCCCACTGGACCCAGCTCCAGCCCCGGATCCGGCACCGCCCACCTGGGCCTGGCCCCGGCCCCACCAGCACTGGGGGATGGGGAGGACCTCGGCCAACACCCCCTGGATGTCCCCACAAGGTCCCTGCACCCGTCCTGGGCCACCAGCTCCAGGGATGGGGCCACCGACTCCACATGGGGATCACTGGTTCATTGGAATCATTGGAATGAGGCCACAAATCCCAAAGGATGGAGCCACCAACTCCACCGGGACGAGGCCACCAAATCCTGAGGAACGGGGCCACCAAATCCACGGGGATGAGGCCACAAATCCCAAAGGATGGAGCCACCAACCCCACCGGGACGAGGCCACCAAATCCTGAGGAACAGGGCCACCAAATCCATGGGGATGAGGCCGCCACATTCCAAAGGATGGAGCCACCAACTCCAGAAGGACAGAGTCACCAAATCCCAAAGGATGGAGCCACCAACCCCACCGGGACGAGGCCACCAAATCCTGAGGAACTCCCATGGCTCCCATCCCATGGCTCCCATCCCGCCCCCCTGACCCCGTCCCCGCCGCGCTGACCGCAGCCGCTGGGTGTTGGAGGACACCCCGGACAGGCGGTAGATGCCATCGACCACCCCGTGCTGCTCCACGAACTCCGTGCAGCTCCGGAGCACCTGCGGCACTGCGGGGCACGGGCCGGCCCCGCGGGGTCCCGGTGAGCCCGATCCCGTGGGATCCCACTGAGCCCACAGGGTCCCGGTGAGACCGATCCCACGGGATCCCAGTGAGCCCTGATCCCACGGGATCCCACTGATCCCACAGGGTCCAGGTGAGACCGATCCCACGGGATCCCACCGAGCCCAGATCCCATGGGATCCCACTGAGCCTTGATCCTGTGGGATCCCAGTAATCCCTGATCCTGTGGGATCCCACTGAGCCCAGATCCCACAGGATCCCTGTTATCCCACAGGATCCCACCGAGCCCAGAGCCCACGGGGTCCCACTGGTCCCAGATCCCACAGAGCCCAACTGATCCTGGATCGAGCAAAGCCCAACTGAGCCCAGACCTGACAGAGTCTGATCCCGGATCCAAGAGCATCCAGCTGAGCCCAGACCTGACAGAGCCCAACTGATCCTGGATCCACCAGAGCCCAACTGATCCTGAACCTAACAGACGAGCTGATCCTGGATCCATCAGAGCCGAGCTGATCCTGGATCCATCAGAACCCACTGCTCCTGGATCCATCAGTGCCCACTGGACCCAGCTCCAGCCCCGGATCCGGCACCGCCCACCTGGGCCTGGCCCCGGCCCCACCAGCACTGGGGGATGGGGAGGACCTCGGCCAACACCCCCTGGATGTCCCCACAGGGTCCCTGCACCCGTCCTGGGCCACCAGCTCCAAGGATCGGGCCACCGATTCCACATGGGGATCACTGGTTCATTGGAATCATTGGAATGAGGCCACAAATCCCAAAGGATGGAGCCACCAACTCCACCGGGACGAGGCCACCAAATCCTGAGGAACGGGGCCACCAAATCCATGGGGATGAGGCCGCCAAATCCCAAAAGATGGAGCCACCAACTCCAGAAGGACAGAGTCACCAAATCCCAAAGGATGGAGCCACCAACCCCACCGGGATGCGGCCACCAAATCCCAAGGAACAGGGCCACCAAATCCACGGGGATGAGGCCACCAAATCCTGAGGAACAGGGCCGCCAAATCCACAGGAATGAGGCCACCAAATCCATGGGGATGGAGCCACCAAATCCCAAGGAACAGGGCCACCAAATCCACGGGGATGAGGCCGCCAAATCCCAAAGGATGGAGCCACCAACCCCACGGAACAGGTCCCCCCACCGCTCAGGGCCAACCCCCCGAGATTGGAGCCCCACCGAGCTCCAACCCCCCCAAATCCCGGCCGAGCCTCGGTGGCCGCGACGCTTCCTGGAGCCCCGGTGACGCAACGGGTGGCGCAAGTCCCCTCCGAGTCCCCTCCGGGGCCCCTTCCCCGCTTCCCTCGGTGGCCCTGGTGGCCCCGGGGGGCTCGGGGGGTGGGCAGGGTGCTGGCACTCACCGTCCTGCCCCGAGCGCTGGAGATGCTCGCGGAGGTCGCAGCCGAAGAGCCGCTCCCGGGAGCCGCCCTTGCGCCTCGCCCGCTGCCGGGCCTTGAGCGCCAGGGACATGGGGACACGGCCGGGGACAGCGCGGGGGACACGGCGGGGACACGGGGGCCACGCCAGGGGGGTCCCGGCGCTGTCCCCGCGGGGGTGGCAGGAAGGCGGAGGCCGCGCTCGAGGCGCTTCCTGCTCCCCGCGGCCGCGAAACCACAGCGAGGGCGGGGACGCCTGCGCACACGCGTGTGCAAGGGACACGCCCTGGGGACAGGGGACACGTGTGTGTGCAAGGGACACTCCCCAGGGACACCTGAGTGTGTGAGGGACACGCCCTGGGGACAGGGGACACGTGTGTGTGCAAGGAACTCACCCTGGAGACACCTGAGTGTGTGAGGGACACACCCTGGGGACACCTGAGTGTGCAAGGGACACGCCCTGGGGACAGGGGACACGTGTGTGTGCAAGGGACACACCCTGGGGACACCTGAGTGTGCAAGGGACACGCCCTGGGGACAGGGGACACGTGTGTGTGCAAGGGACACTCCCTGGGGACACCTGAGTGTGCAAGGGACACCTGAGTGTGCAAGGGACACGCCCTGGGGACACCTGAGTGTGAAAGGGACACACCCTGTGCACACCTGAGTGTGCAAGGGACACGCCCTGGGGACAGGGGACACCTGAGTGTGTGAGGGACACTCCTTGGGGACACCTGAGTGTGAAAGGGACAGTCCCTGGGGACACCTGAGTGTGTGAGGGACACGCCCTGGGGACAGGGGACACGTGTGTGTGCAAGGGACACGGCCTGGGGACACCTGAGTGTGAAAGGGACACACCCTGGGGACACCTGAGTGTGCAAGGGACACACCCTGGGGACACATGGGTGTGCAAGGGACACGCCCTGGGGACACCTGAGTGTGTGAGGGACTCTCCTTGGGGACATTCCAATGTCCATGACACACCTGCGGTCACTCGGGGACATCTGGGCACACCTGGGGACATCCTTGCACGCCCCCTTGCACACTCCCCTGCCCCCCCCACCAGCTCACCTGCACCCCCAGCCCCGCCCACTCCACCCCTGTGTCACCCCTGTGTCACCTCTGTGTCACCTCTGTGTCACCCCCGTTCCACCCCTGTGTCACCCCTGTGTCACCTCTGTGTCACCTCTGTGTCACCCCCGTGTCACCCCTGTGTCACCCCTGTGTCACCCCCGTGTCACCCGTGTGCCACCTCTGTGTCCCAATGTCACCCACATGTCACCGTGTCACCCATGCCACCCCCGTGTCACCTGTGTGTTACGGTGTCACCCGCGTGTCTCAGTGTCACCCCCATGTCACCCACATTACCTGTGTCACCCGCATGTCTCGGTGTCCCCCCCGTGTCCCCGGTGTCCCCAGGGTGTCACACTCGGGCCCAGTCCCGCGGGTCCTTTATTTACAGGGTCTATACACGGCTGTACAGCCCCTCCCCCAGCCCGGGGGGGAGGGGACACGGCTGTCCCCAGTGCCACCAACCCGGGGGGGGAGGGGACACGGCTGTCCCCAGTGCCACCAACCCGGGGGGGGTGACACGGCTGTCCCCAGTGCCACCAACCCGGGGGGGTTGGAGGGACACGGCTGTCCCCAGTGCCACCAACCCGGGGGGGTGACACGGCTGTCCCCAGTGCCACCCAGCCCGGGGGCAGCCCGCGGTTGGTGGCATCTGGGGACAGGAGCTTGTCCTGGGCTTGGTGGTGTCCCCAAGCCAGTGACAGCAGGGACGTGGCACTTGGAGACCAGAGTCCATCTCTGAAGCAGGGAGGTGGCACTTGGGGACCGGAGAATGTCCTTGAGCTCGGTGGTGTCCCCAAGCCTGTGCCAGCAGCAAGGTGACACTTGGGGACTGAAGAACGTCCTGGGGCTTGGTGGTGTCCCCAAGCCTGTGCCAGCAGGGAGGTGACACTTGGGGACCAGAGTCTTTGCTTGACCCCACACCAGCAGGGAGGTGACACCCGGGGACCGCAGCCAGTCCTGGGGCGCTGTCCTTGTCCCCAGCCCCATGCCAGCAGGGAGGTGACACCCGGGGACCGCAGCCAGTCCTGGGGCGCTGTCCTTGTCCCCAGCCCCACGCCAGCAGGGAGGTGACACCTGGGGACTGAAGTCCATCCTTGACCCCACACCAGCAGGGAGGTGACACGGTCCTGGGGCACTGTCCTTGTCCCCAACCGCACACCAGCAGGGAGGTGACACAGTCCTGGGGCGCTGTCCTTGTCCCCAGCCCCACGCCAGCAGGGAGGTGACACCCAAGGACCAGAGTCCATCTTGACCCCACACCAGCAGGGAGGTGACACGCGGGGACCGGAGCGGAGGGGACAGAGCCAGGCGGGCGCGGGGGGAGGCCGGCTGTCCCCAGGTGTCCCCAGGTGTCCCCAGGGTCCCCCCGGGCCCGGTCACACCAGGTGGCCGCGGCCGTTGATGTAGATGCCGTTGGAGCTGGGCTTGGCCTGCAGCATGCCGTTCTCCTGCACGAAGTGCGTCATGGCCGCCTTGATGGGGTCCCCCCCGCCGCCGCCCTCCTCCTCCTCCTCCTTGGGCTCCTTCGCGCCGGGCGCCGGCGGCGCTGGCACCGCGGGGACCGCGGGGACAACGGGGACGTCGGTCTGCGTCTCGATCTCCCGCACCGTGGAGAGCGTGGAGTAACTGCGGCCCTCGGGCTCCTCGCTCTGGGGACAGGGGACAGGGACACGTCAGGGGTGTGGGGCAAGGCGGGGATTGGTGGGGACGTGGGCACCGTGGGGACATGGGGACAAATGGGGACACGGGGACCAGTGGGGACATGGGGACCAGTGGGGACATTGGAACCATGGGGACATGGGGACAAATGGGGACACAGGGACCAATGGGGACATGGCATTGATTGGGACATGGGCACCGTGGGGACATGGGGACAAATGGGGACATGGGCACCGTGGGGACATTGGAACCATGGGGACATGGGGACAAATGGGGACACAGGGACCAATGGGGACATGGGGACCAATGGGGACACGGGCACTGTGGGGACATTGGAACCATGGGGACCAGTGGGGACAAATGGGGACATGGCATTGATGGGGACATGGGCACTGTGGGGACATTGGAACCATGGGGACAAATGGGGACACAGGGACCAGTGGGGACATGGCATTGATGGGGACACGGACAGTGCTGGGGACATGGGTGCCACCAGGGCCATGGCCACCATGGGGACACTTGGGACACGGGCACTGATCAGAACAAGGACAGGGACACCAGAGGGGACATGGGGAGGACCAGGTGATGTGGGCACCACGGGGACACGGACATCACCAGTGACACGGGCCCTGTGGGGGACACGGTGGGGACATGCCCAGGAACATCACCGGGGCCAGGGACACTCCCAGGAACGCGGTGAGCCCGCGTCCCCTGGTGTCCCCCGTGTCTCACCATGGCGGAGCAGATGCTGGTGCCACGCAGGCTGTCCCCCCGCAGGCTGTCCCCCCGCAGGCTGTCCCCTCTCAAGCTGTCCCCTCGCAGGCTGCCCTGGCGACTCTCCGTCCGCAGCTGCAGCGTCTCCTCCAGCTGGGACAGTCTGGTCAGCGCCCAGGACACCCCGGACACCCCAGGACACCCCAGGACAACCCATGGACACCCCTGGGCACACCATGGACCAAGGACACACCATGGACACCCCAGGACATCCCATGGACTGACCGCATGGACACCCCATGGACACGCCATGGACACACCAGAACACCCCTGGACACCCCATGGACACCCCAAGGGCATCCCCAGTTTGATTCCATGGAGACCCCATGGCTGTCCCAAAGTCTGACCCCACGGACACCCCACAGCCCAACCCAACCCCCCTTCCTTGGTGTCCCCACCTGTGCCCGGGGGTCGCTGCTGTGGCTGGAGTGGAGCCTCCGGATGGAATTTTCCCGGGTCAGCGTCAGCTCCTCCTCGCTGGGGACACGGGGGACACTCAGCCCCTGTGTCCCCACGCGTCCTGCTGTGCCCTTCTGTGTCCCCCGTGTCATCCCATGTCCCCTCGTGGCCGTGTCCATCTCCCACATCCCCCGTGTCACCCCTGTCCTCTGTGTCCCCCGTGTCCCTCATGTCCTGCCATGTCCTCTGTGTCTATCCCATGTCCCCATGTGTCCCCTGTGTCGCCATGTCCCTCCATGTCCATTCATGTCCCCATGTCCCCTGTGTCCCCATGTCCCCTATGTCCCTTGTGTCCCCTGCATCCCCACGTCCCTCCACGTCCTCGTGTCCCCCCGTGTCCCCCGTCCCCTCCCTTACTACTTCTCGGAGATGCGCTGGGTCTTGCGTTTGTGGTACAGGGTCATGACCACCACGACGATGACGAGGACGCAGAGCAGGACGGCGGCGATGACCCCGACCACGACCACCGAGGCCGACACCAGGTCCACGCGGCGCACCGTGTCCTCTGCGGGCACCCCACGGGGTCAGGGGACACCCCACGGGGTCAGGGGACACCCCAGACCAGGGGGACACCCCATGTGGGGTCAGGGGACACCCCACGGGGTCAGGGGACACCCCACAGGGGTCAGGGGACACCCCCAAAGGTAGTTTGGGACAGTGGGTGACCAGTGGGTGGGGATGGACAGCAAGAGGTGTCAAAGGGACAGATCCCCATGTCCCCTATGTCCCTTGTGTCCCCTGCATCCCCACGTCCCTCCACGTCCTCGTGTCCCCCCGTGTCCCCCGTCCCCTCCCTTACTACTTCTCGGAGATGCGCTGGGTCTTGCGTTTGTGGTACAGGGTCATGACCACCACGACGATGACGAGGACGCAGAGCAGGACGGCGGCGATGACCCCGACCACGACCACCGAGGCCGACACCAGGTCCACGCGGCGCACCGTGTCCTCTGCGGGCACCCCACGGGGTCAGGGGACACCCCACGGGGTCAGGGGACACCCCGGACCAGGGAGACACCCCATGTGGGTCAGGGGACACCCCAAACTGGGGGAGAACCCAAAGGGTCAGGGGGACACCCCCAAAGGTGGTGTGGGACAGTGGGTGACCAGTGGGTGGGGATGGACAGCAAGGGGTGTCAAAGGGACAGATGGATGGATGGATGGATGGATGATGGATGGATGGATGGATGATGGATGGATGGATGGATGATGGATTGGAGGCATGACCAGAAGGACAGAGGAGTAGACGGAAGGGCGGGTGGGTGGACAGAAGGATGGAGGAGTGGACAACAGGGCGGGTGAGGGAATGGCAGGGCAGGTGAGGGGACAGAAGGATGGAGGAGTAGACGGAAGGGCGGGTGAGTGGACAGAAGGATGGAGGAGTGGACGGAAGGGCGGGTGAGTGGACGGAAGGGCGGGTGTGAGCAGACAGTGAGTAAAGCCAGGCTGGATGAGCACACGATGAGTGGACGGGCGTGGAGGAGGGATGGACCTTGGTGGGATGGGCACAGGATGGGAGGAGCGGAGGGATGGATGATGGATGGATGGATGGATGGATGGATGGATGATGGATGATGGATGGATGGATGGATGATGGATGGATGGATAAGCAGGAATCTGGAGGCATGACCAGAAGGACAGAGGAGTAGACGGAAGGGCGGGTGGGTGGACAGAAGGATGGAGGAGTGGACAACAGGGCGGGTGAGGGAATGGCAGGGCAGGTGAGGGGACAGAAGGATGGAGGAGTAGACGGAAGGGCGGGTGAGTGGATGGATGGATGATGGATGGATGGATAAGCAGGAATCTGGAGGCATGACCAGAAGGACAGAGGAGCAGACAGAGGGCCGGGTGAGTGTACAAAAGTCCGGGTGAGTGGACAGAAGGATGGAGGAGTGGACAGGAGGGCGGGTGAGGGAATGGCAGGGCAGGTGAGGGGACAGAAGGATGGAGGAGTAGACGGAAGGGCGGGTGAGTGGACAGAAGGATGGAGGAGTGGACGGAAGGGCGGGTGAGTGGACGGAAGGGCGGGTGTGAGCAGACAGTGAGTAAAGCCGGGCTGGATGAGCACACGATGAGTGGACGGGCGTGGAGGAGGGATGGACCTTGGTGGGATGGGCACAGGATGGGAGGAGCGGAGGAGGGAGGGACAGGATGGGTGGAGGGGTGAATGAATGGATGTGTGGACGGACAGATGGACAGATGGGCAGGAGGATGAGTGAATGAATGGATGAGTGGACAGATGGGTGGGTGGACAAGGGGATGAGTGGACAGATGGATGAGTGGACAGAGGGACGGGTCGATGAACGGATGGATGAATGAATGGATGATGGATGGACACATAGCTGGATGAATGGACGGACAGATGGACGGACAGATAGACAGCCATACAGACAGACGCACAAACCAAGCCCAGCACTCCCCTCAGCACACCCTGTCCCTTCTGCCACCCTCGGAGTGTCCCCGCTGCCCTGTCCCCACCTGTGGCGCGTCCCCGGATGCTGACGTTGGCCCGCGCCTCCTTGGCGGCCACGCGGTTGGACACTCGGCACACGTAGTCGCCGGCGTCGGCCACGGCCAGCGGCCGCTGGAACAGCAGCGTGTCCCCCTTGACCCTGACACCCGCGGGCAGCGGCGCGTCCACCCTGCGGGGACAGCCCGGTGTCAGCCCCGGTGACAGCCCTGGTGACATCTCCCCATGACAGCCCGGTGTCAGCCCGGTGTCAGCCCTGGTGACAACTCCCGGTGACATCTCCCAGTGACGACCCCCGGTGACAGCCCCCATGACATTCCCCGGTAACAACCCCGGTGCCAGCCCCTGGTGACAGCCCTGGCCTGCCCGGGCGGGTGGCGGTGGCGGCAGCGGTGTCAAAGCCGGCGGTGCCGGTTCCCACGGGTGACGCCCAGCCGGGCACCGCGGGGCCTGCCCGGGCACGCGGCACTGCCAGGCCCAGCCACGGCGGCACCGGCACGGGACGGGCGTGGGCAGGGACTGGGGGTGGGGAGGTGGGGCAGGGACTGGGGGACTTGGCAGGGACAGGGGGACGTGGCAGGGACAGGGGGACACAACAGGGACATAGCAGGGACAAGGGGACATGGCAGGGATAAGAGAATGTGGCAGGGACAAGGGTGACACAACAGGGGGCACGGGGACATGGCACAGGAGCAGGGGGATGTGGCAGGGGCAGGAGGGACACCGCAAGGACAGGGGGATGTCCCCACAGGCAGCGGGGACACAGCAGGGACATGGGACACGGCCAGGACACAGCAGGGACATGGGACACGGCCAGGACACAGCAGGGACATGGCAGGGACACAGTGGGGACACAGTGGGGACAGAGTTGGGCCAGGGGACACCACAGGGCTCCAGACCCTGGGCAGCGGGGACACAGCAGGGACATGGGACACGGCCAGGACACAGCAGGGACATGGCAGGGACACAGTGGGGACAGAGTTGGGCCAGGGGACACCACAGGGACACAAACACGCTCCAGACCCTGGCAGGGACACAGCCGTGCTGTGGGGACCCAGGGCAGAGGGCCGTGGGGAGGTGACAGGGGGTGGCAGGAGGTGACAGAGGGTGACAGGGGGTGACAGGGGCCTCACCGTGTCCAGTTGTAGGTCGGGGGGGGGTTGCCGTCCCCCAGGCAGGTCAGCGCCGCCCCCTCCATCCCCTCCTGCCACTCGGCCGTGTGGCCCAGCACCGACGCGTCCGACAGGTCTGGTGACACCGAGGGGACACTCAGGGGACAAGGTCCCACGGCCCCGCTGTGCCCCCCATGGCCACGGTGTCCCCCCGTGTCCCTCGTCCTCCCCATGCCCAATGTCCCACCCTCCGTGTCCCCAAGGTCCTCTTTGCCAGCATTCCCCAGTGTCACCTGTGTCCCCACACTCCCAATGCCACCTGCGTCCCCCACGTCCCCAGCACCCTCCACCTGCCCAGTGCCCAATGCCCCCCGTGCTCCCCAGATTTCCCTGTCCCCAATGTCCCCAATGTCCCCAATGTCCCCCTCACCCTCCACATCCCCTGTGCCCAGGATGTCCCCAACGCCCCCCATGTCCCCAATGTCCCCCATATTCCCAATGCCCTCCATGTCCCCAACACCCTCCATACCCCCCGTCAACCCCCATGTCCCCAGTGCCCCCATGTCCCCAATGCCTCCCACACCGTCATCACCCCCAGTGTCCCCAGCACCCTCCACGTCCCCCGCACCCCCGTCACCC